CAAGATATATATATATATATATGTAAGTACACGCATATATATATATATATATATATACATATATATATATATATATATATATACACATACAACTATACAAATTAAATTTGAGGCCTCGAGCCCAAAGCCGAAAGCCTAAAGCCTTAAACCCCGAGCCTGAACCCTAAACCCCACACCCAGGGAGACCTTCCTTTGCACGGATTTTCCCGGCCTGGCGCGGTGACTCTCAAAATCTCAAGAGTCACTGCGCTGGCTCTCTACAGGAGCTTCTGGTCGATGCCAGGAGTTTTTCCGAGACTTTGCAACTCCCAAACCCCTAAGCCCTAACGTCCTTTAAACTTCAATGCCAAACCCGAGCCCGAACTGAAAATACTGAACCCAACAATCCAAACCCCTGTCCTTGTATTCCAGGACTTAAACCCTGAACCCTAAATCCTAACCGCTGAAACCTCAATCCTGAGCGCTGGCACCCCAAACCCTGAACAATGCTCTGTTCGCGATATCTTAAACCCTGCCATGAAGACTACGTACTCAACCCAATATCCTACACCATGGACCCTCAATCCTATACCGGATATTGTGCTATTTAACCCTTAAGGCTCGGAAAGGCCTCTTTGCCTCGAATTCTGAGGCCCTCGGCTCGTTTTCTACGTTTTGGGGCCCTTTGACGTTAGGTCTATAAAGGTGTCGGGTTTAAGGTTTCAAGGGATGTCCAGAAGAGGATGGCCCATGGCACTCTTGCCATCCGGGCTTCAAAAAAGGACCCCAATCTAGGGAACTATCCGTTTGAGTGGGCCATCAAGCAAGTGGCCCTGCATTCGGTTAGCTTTACTCACCTTCTGGTTGCTTGCTCCAGGATGCGGAAAAGGACTTGGTCCGCCTGCCTGCCTGCCTGACGGCCTGCCCGCATGTGCAAGGGTGCAAAAGGATCACTGCAACATTCGGATTTCGGACTGCAGACATGTAGCAGAACTCCTGGCTGGATGATCGCTGCCTCAGCCTGCGGTGCCGTTGACCTGGCAACCTTCGATTCACAAGATGAATATGTCACGGGGACGATACAATCAAGCTGGTACCAGAATCATCAGCATCCCGACCTTTTTCTGGGTAACTGTCGCGTTATTATTGGAACGGCGATGACGGTGATGATGATGATGATGATCATCATCAGGAAGGTTCAGAGAGGAGAGGACGATCCTGACGATGGCGACGATGATGACGATGCGATGATGTCGGCGATCAATATCATAATAATGTTGTTTCTCCTGCTGCTCCTGCTGCTGCTGCCGCAATTGCTGCTGCTGGCGATATGATTCTGATGATCAGTGGTGGCCAGCAACTCGAGCCCAATCCAGCCTGACTAATTATGAAGAATATCCACGAAGCTTTATGCGCCCGGTCGGCTTGGGTCGAAGTTGGTCATGAGAAACGCATAGATCAGCACAATACATAGACTATGGGCATGACCATGAATGATGTTATGATCGCTGATGAACCTAGTTATGAGTTTCAATGCCGTATGTGTTTCTCAGCTTCATTCTCAATCGGCGCAAGGGTTCTCATGGTGCTGTGAAATGGGGCGAAACAAACGAATGACCACCGACCACGAACGATGAAACCTCAAGGAATGTGGCGTTTCCAGACAGCCAAGCCTCCTACAACACTGTAAAGTACCGTTCGCTTGGCCTGCTAGAGCAAGCATGGCCGTGACATGGAGCAATTGACATCCGTTTCTTTGCCTCATCTCAAGAACGCTTTAGTGTGACCGAGTGTCAGAGAGTGCTCGGTTGCTTATTTCCAAGCAGGTGGGATTAACAAGAGTTCAAATTCGGCAGTGCTCGCGTGATTTGGTGGTCAGCTCCTTTTCATTCGTCTATTGTTCCTAGCTGGTAAGGCAGACATCCGAAGCGAAACGACTCACATTGCGCTTGTCGTGCATCGCATTCTGGCTTGAAGGAGTGTTGGCAAGGCTTCATGAGCACATGCCGCAGGACCAGTTGCTGCGGACATGCAGCGCTCGGTTGGAGATCCAAGTTTGAGTGCGCTGACGAGCCGGGCTCTGCATGGCCACGCCTTCTTCCCGCTGGGGGTTGCCTTGCCGGCGAGTAGCATCGTGACCCCTGAGCCGGGTACTTCGGCCAGAGGCCCCTGGGCATCTTTGCTGACAGGAGCGGTTACCCTTCTTGCGGCCGGTCGGAAGTTCGCCAGAAGAAAGGCCAAACCGCAGGACATGGGCAGAGAATTGGGGAGTGAAGATGTGAACTTCCAGCTGAAGGTTGTGCAGGCCGAAGAAGTTGAGATTCCCACAGATGGATTAAAAAGCTATTTTTCTCAAATTACCCATAAAGGTGTGAGGGTGACGCTGGAAGATGGCAGTCGAACGATCATTGATCGAATGCCAGAAGACTCAGCTGCACCTGATTTAAATGTTCGCATACTCGAAGACAACCAGAACTGGCAGAAAGAAAGGGACATAGACCTGGAACCGGGACGAAAGTCGCTGGGTGAAGTCTACACGGCGGCCTCCAAAGGAGGGAAGTACGATCTGGTTACTAACAACTGTGTACAATCGCGTGACAGAGTGACCAGGTGCTTGGAGGGTCGCTCGGACACTGACGCTGCGGTGGAATCCGCGGCAAGAGTTGCAGCTCGGGCCGGAAGTTCTGTTCTCAGGGATGTTATCGCAGACAGAGCTGTTGATCCAAAACCTGCAATTGCAGAAGCTGGAGGTGGCCTTGCAAGAGATCTTGGCCTTGCAACATCATTGCTGTCCTGCTGTAGGTAAAGTTGGTTGTATGCTGTTGTCTTTTTGATTAGTCTCTTGTCTAGAGTCTTGACATCTCTAAGGAGGCGTGCCAAAACGTAACCGGGGCCAGCCCTATCAGTGCTGCGGCGGATTCATTGGTGACCACAGTGGTCAAGACCGGCTGCACAGCCAAGGCAGGTGCAGCGGCAGCGAGGTCGTTCGCGTTCGAAGCCGTGACCAAGAATTTTCCAAGTTTGCGATTGGCGAGCATGTCGTTGGGTGAGAGGAAGTATTCCGACGGACAGAAGCATGTTTCCGAGCATGGCTTTCAGTTCGACCTGCGTTTCAACAACCTTCACGGAGTTGTGGGACTCAGGGGCAACCTGGGCAAAACAGAACTGAGAAGTCAGAAGGTTACGCACAGGAAGACCCCTCATGTTCATGAGAGACTCACTGAAGGGACGGCCAGACATCATGTCTTGGGCACATATGTAGTCGATTTGGATCAGGAGGTTTCACACTGGAAGACTGCTCATATTCACGAGAGATTCACTGAAAGCACGACCAAAGTTCATGTCTTGGACAAAGATGTGGTCGATTTGGATCAGGAGGTCACGCGCGGGAAGATCGTTCATGTTGACGAAGCACTCACTGGAGTGACGGCCAAAGCTCATGTCTTGGGCAACGATGTGGTCGATTTGGACCAGAAAGTTGCGCCCGAGAAGACCGTTCATGTTCACGAGACACTCAGTGGAGTGACGGCCAAAGTTCATGTCTTTGGCAAAGATGTGATCGATTTAGACACAGGCTCGTACCGAAAGAACACCCTGTCCACAGAGTCGTCCAGCTTCTTCGAAACTACGGAGATTTCCCAACAGTTCGACGGAATCAAAATTCTCGGGGTGGAGTTCACCTCGCTGACGGAAACGGTTAAGACGAACCGTTTTGGCCTGGGTAACTGCGAGCTGGTCACAATGGAGACTCGCGAGGGTCGTGCGCCTACCTTCAGACCTGGTGAGGATGCTCACATGATTTCTGGAGCAGGGCTTGCCGGCGGCCTGAACTTTGGTTTCGACATGTTAGATGGCAAAGGCACAGGCGAGGCGCTGCAGCATGGTGTGCAAACTTCTGCTGGGAATTTTGCGATTGCAGCCGCGATGAAGAATCTGAGTCTTCCCTGTGTGCTGGTGGATGCCGAGCAAGGGCACATTGACATGATTTTGCTGAATGGCTACGCAGTTGGTTTGGGTAAGAGTTCAAAGTTTCTCAGAACGCCAGAAGGAGACATCTGGCAGACAGACACGGGCATTCAACTCGGAGCCGGTGTTCCTGGTGACCCCCTGCAAAACGTGCAGGCGGAAGTCAGGCTGGGCCGTAGTGAGACGGAGTCACAGTCGAAACAGTCAGACGACTCCGGGTATGAGGAACAACATTGCACTTCAAGTTCCGAGGGCTTTCAGCTGCAACTGCAGGTCTGCAACCGCGCCACGCCATCGGCGACATTTGGCTCCACGCACAAGGAGGTAAGAGGCCACGGCTATCACCAACACCTTGACAGGTCGATCACACATGATGACGAATCAGTTTCCGACTCCTTCAGCGTTGGCATAGCATCCTGGGGCAGCTTCGAGGAGTTGGACCAGCATGTGGAGACGTTGAACAATGGAGGGCAGATCCTCCAGTCGGAGCAATTCTCCGCACAAACTTGGGGCCTTCATCTCGGCTTGTGTGACGGCGAACTTGCACAGGGCTCATTCAGAGACGAGAAGCAAGAGCTTTCAGGGTCTGGGGATGTTGTGCATGAAACATTTGAAGGAAGCGAGACACGTACCAATTCGTCCTGCTTTTTCGGCTTGTGCAAAGGAGAACAACATGTGAACAAGCATGGACATGTGCATCGAAGTGAATGCCATTCCTCTTCAGACAGCTCTTGGGGCATCACCACTAGTTCCTCTACGAGCACAGATGAGGACTGGGAGAGGACTGTATGCGACAAGCAGGTGACAGCCGCTAGGCCTTTGTCAAGCTTCTCTGTTTGTGTTAAACGCCGTGCCTTGTTAGACGTGGAAAGAGCGACTGCGAGAAATTCAGACTTAGGACAGCCCTGTTCAGCACAAAGTCGTGCAAGAGCACACGGAGAGCCACCTCTCGTGCGGCCTTTCATTGCGCGATCATGAGCGGTCAGTCGCCGTCGGCACAGGCAATGGGCAGCAGCAAGAGGACGGCATAGATCGCACTTGGGATGGCTCCGATGAGTATCACATACTTAATGGTCGTCAACTCAGTTGCAGTCGGATCGTTAAAGCTCCGGGCGGGTCAGTGGTAAAGGTTTTGCACTTGTTGGTCTTCGTTTTACTTTCTTGGTAGGTTTGTTAGCGAGGTGTGGGAGAACGGCACCAGAACAACTTCCTCTTCAGCATTGAGACCCGGGGTAGAATGCATTTCGATGACATCCTGGGCAAAGTGGTCGCCGACGATGTCGAGGTCACAGGCATGGAGTCTAGTGCTGCAGTGAAGTGCTTGATTTTGGTCCTTGTGCCGGAAATGATGCACGGCCTTCAAAAGACAGGGCAGGTGCTTCGTCCGGAAGCACTACCGAGGATTTTTGAAACCTTCAAAGAGAGAGCAGTCTTTGGGACAGCTTCTGGGCTTTTCTCTGTTGCGACCGGTGGCCTCCACCTTTTTCCATTCCTTCGCTTCGCGGAGGCCTGCCGGAAGATACAAGAAGCCTTGAATAGCGAGGGCCCTGATGATGAGAAGCGGGCCCAAGCCGGGGAGGTCTTGAAACGATTGATATCTCAAGAAGCGCAGGCGCTCATGTTCATCGCCGCCACTTCGTTTGTGCCAAATTTTGCAACGCTCGTCGCTTGCCAGTGTGTGGTCACGTCGTTGCACGAATCCGGACAGGCAGGAACTCAACCTGTCACCAAGTAGTTGAGTGGACTTACCTTGCTGAGCAGATTCAGTTTCTGCATTTTGTATGTTCCACCAGCTTGCATGTTAATCGCAAGACTGGAGCAGCTCAGCAGGTGCTAGCTTTTTTTTGAAGTCTCGCCGCTGGAAAAGCAGGCTTAATTCGGCTTAATCGGCAAGTATGCAGAGGAGGTCAAAGGTTCGACAGGCGTCAACGATGCACTTTTACACCGTTGTTGCGCGAGTGGCTCCCAGCACACTGTGCCGCGAATACCATGGAGGCGCGTCGCCTGAAGAACTGCTATGTGCTCGGTGCAGGGATTGGGGATCAGTATATGTGGACTTGAACGGGGAGCATGGAAGATCGCTGTGTTGTGCCCGCAGATCACATGTCGGTAAGACACTGTTCTCCGGATCTCTATATGGGATCTCATTCTTGCCTAGGCCTAGCTGGCTTTCCTGGCTAGTTTCGTCGATGTATATAAGTCGGAATTCTGCTTGGAAGCTGCTTGCTCTCCCCCCCTAGTCTGCATTGCAGTGGGTGAAGTGAACGGTGCCTGGGTCTGCGAGACCCCTTTTGGTGCTCCAGTTGCATGCCGCATGTGCCGCGTGTGCATGTTCTGGGCTTGGAAAAGTCAGCACGCTAGGTTTCACTTGAGGCCATGGGCTAATCTGAGAGTGTGGGACGTTCCTCCTCACGGTTCATGGCACTGGGAAAGGATAGATTCGGAACAGCTGGCAAGAGAAGGCAGTCGGTTAGCGCATGTTAGCCGGGAGGACTCGCATGCTGCAGGGTTAGCTTACACACAAACACGTGGCGAAAGAGAGAGACTCTGGACATGGCGTTCAGACCGGAGCTTCATCAGCGGACGGGCAGGACCGAGGTCTTGATTCCGGGTTTAGGGTTTAGGGTTTTTTGTACGAGGTATCAGTCCACTCTCGCTGAGTTCAGGTGCCGAAATTCCTCGAACCCGAAACCCTGAACTTTGAACGGAACAGCCGTAAGGGAAGGATCTCTCAAACAAAGAAACAAGCCAACCCTGCATTCCCACACCTTAGAGACCCTAGACCTTAAACCCTCAACCCTAAATCCTACACCCTAAACCCTAAATCCCAAGCCCTAAACCCGAAACCCTAAATCCGAAACCCTAAATCCGAAACCCTAAATCCGAAACCCTAAATGCTAAACCCCAAATCCGAAACCCTAAATCCTAAACCCTAAACCTTAAATCCTACACCCCAAATGCTTAATCCCTAAGTCGCAGTATGGTCGATGTTGGGAGCCCAGAGACTCCAATATCCCTTAATTAAGGAGTATACCTTAAATTATAGTAGGATCCCTTATATGATTTAAGGTGTATTCCATAATTCAGGGGATATTAGATTCCCTTAAACCCTATAGATCCCTTATAGATCCCTTAAAGGAACCCTAGCCCTAGGTATATTCCTTAATTAAGGGATATTGGAGTCTCTGGGGGAGGAGATCTGCCTTCCTTCTGGCTGCGCTTGCCCTGGGCTACGGCACTTCCGCCTTCGTTTTCCCAAGGATCGCGAAGGCTCGGCCGCAGGAATCTGGTGTGGGCCGCTTTTGAAGAGACAGTGAGAGCGAGAGAGAGAGAGAGAGAGAGACAGACATAGAGAGAAACAGAGAGACAGAGAAAGAGAGAGAGAGAGAGAGAGAAAGAGAAAGAGAACCACGGAGAGAGCGAGAGAGCGGAGGGCAAGAGCGAGACAGCGGAGAGCAAGATTCCAAATCCCGAAAACCGAAGCCCCAAAAACCCAAATCAGCAGCCGATTGCAGGCGTACCAACGCCAGGATCCGGCACCCTCAGTGGTGAGGCATGCTGCCAAGGAGCCTTTTTGCGGGTGGTGCAGCTCAAAAAGCGCTGCGCTTTCAGGGTTTTTGGGCTTCAGGTTTTGGGGTTGGGGTTACTTAACCTTAATAAGGGTTGTCTAAAGGTTGCCCTAAGCGGGTTTCGCGTGCTTGAATCTGTGTGCTCTGGCAGGAGAGAAGCCCAGTAGAACGAATGCAGAGATTTCTTCGACCCCGAATGGGGAAGGCTGGCCAGCATCAAGCCTTGAACATGGAGTGCCTAGAGTGCGTACCTGGCCCAGGGAACCATTCGTGAGTTGCCTTCGAATGCTGAGATGATCGGCAGCTTGAAGATTGCCTACGAGGCACGGGCAACTCGTACAACGTTCCGAAAGGCCCGAGCATGTCAAACTGAGGTAGTGCTGAAGAAGCCCATGGGCATTGTCTTGGAAGATGGACCCCAAGGGCCAGGAGAAAGAGCCGTGTCATCGCACTGTTTCGTGGCTCAATGCCCTGAACCTGAACTGCAACAGCGCCCTACCGGCAATCGCGTTGGCAGGATTCGGAGTTGGCGTTGCAGACGTCCTGGAGACTGGCAGCGCGTACCCTGATCCAGTTCAGAGTGCTCGTGCAGCTTGCGGTCCTGCAGACTCACGCAAGCTTCTGAGTGGATCTTCCTAAGCCTCTACTTTGGCTTGAGGCATCAGCTCCTCCAGGACGTGCTCTTTGAGGGGAAAGACTCCATGTGGATCCAGGAGACACGTCATTCTTATTTGGGGGTTTCCAAATATGGGGGACCCTAATATAGTGCCCTAAATAGTAGGCTCCTTATTATAAGGGCGCCAAAATAAGGTACCAGGTACCCCTGCTTTCGGAAACTACCATTTGAGGTGTTTAGGCTTACTGTTTTTGGGGCTTAGTGTTCGAAGTTTGTGTGTTGGAAGCTCGAAATGTGAGAGCTTTCTCGGAACGTGCAAGACATACACGAAACCATAGCAGCACCAACACATCGGGAGAACAACGTTGAGGTCGCAAGCCGGGCGGGGGGGGGGGGCATGCGGCTGCAAGGAGAGAGGATTGCTTGTCAAACCTACTAACACTACAGGCAGGATGTTGATGGAGAAGCCAGGCTTGTCCATGGGATCCTAACAGTCTTGGCAGAAGGGGAGAAATGGATCATGTCGAAAGAAGCTAGAATCAATAAGCCTACACCGAGCTGTAGACTTGCTGCGGGGTGGTTCGACGAATCGGGCGCTTTGCATGTTGCCCCCACGAATAAGTAGCCCAGAAGTTGCGTTGTCAGCTTCTTTGCTCGTGTCAACTTCACAGCAAGTCTTCTTTTGGCTATCCTGTTACTGCCGATGGTTCAACAGAGCCATAACCACCCTGAAGCCCAAGCACTTGCATGGAGAAGGATGTCCTTGGTGGCATCTGCATGGATTCACCTGAGCTCTTAACGTCTAAGTCACATTGGAGTCTCCGACACAAAGCATTGCACTATTAATGGTTTGTATTTCGGGGTCTTCTTGTGATTTCAAGTCCATGGCAGACACGAGACAGGCTAATTCACTACTACTACTACTACTACTACTACTACTACTACTACTACTACTACTACTACTCCTACACTACTACTACTACTACTACTACTACTACTACTACTACTACTACTACTACTACTACTGCTGCTGCTACTGCTGCTACTACTACTACTACTACTACTACTAACTACTACTAGTACTAGTACTACTACTACTACTACTACTACTACTGCTACTACCACTGGCTACCGCTACTGCTAACTGCTACTGCTACTGCGCTACTGCTTATGCTAACTGGCTACTGCCTACTGCTACTGATACTGCTACTGCTACTGCTACTGCTACTGCCTACTGCTACTGCTACTGCTCCTGCTACTGCTCCTGCTGCTGCTGCTGCTACTGCTACTGCTACTGCTACTGCTACTACTACTGCTACTACTGCTACTACTGCTACTACTGCTACTACTGCTACTACTGCTACTACTGCTACTACTACTGCTACTACTGCTACTGCTACTGCTACTATGCCGCTACTGCTGCTACTCCTCCTGCTGCTGCTGTCATTGATGTTGTTGGACCTCGCTAACACTCTAAACCCAGGACCCCAAGCCCTACACATGATCCCGTGCACCTCTTGAGGAGGGCGACGAGCTTGAGGCGGTGAATGGGGAGCCTCTGGACGGCTTCAAGGCGAGAATGCAACAGTTTGTGATGGTTTCCTTTCGTATCAATAAGGAGCCTGTGATAGTCCTGGGCCTTTTGGCCTACAGGTCCAGCCCTAAACCCTAAACCCTAACCCCTAACCCTTCAACCTTGGCTCTTTTGCGATCTCCCAGGAGAAGGCGACCGAGCTCGTGATGAACTCCGGGGACGAAGTGCGGTTGACTCTGTCCCGCCCGCGCAAAGGGTACATCAAGGCCGGTGGCACTAGAAGAAAAACAACCGGTTTAGGGTTTATTGTTTAGGTGGTGGTGGTGGTGGAGTTGGTATTGTTGCTGCTGCTTCTGCTTCTGATTCCCCTGGCTGGTACTAGTTGCGAGCCTTCGTGTTAAGCTATCATCAAGAACATTTTCATTTTAAGGCATTGTTGGAATCCTTATTTCGGCTGTGGAGGGCTCAATCCTGTTCAAATACCTTAAGATATGACTATGACAATTCCGCCTACGCTGTTTGGATGATACAGGAGTCTGCCCCTCAGCAGTGGTGCCACTCTCGTTGCTTTGGCAGGTTCTTGCTTGGACTCTTCTCTCCATGTCATGTGGGTGGTCGTCAAAGTTCTGGTCCCCTTTTAGGTCCCTCTTATAATACGGCACCTGATGATCAAGGTACCCAAAAAGGTACCCTAATTTTGACAACAACCCATGCAGAGAAGTATCAGTTGTTGCCGCTGTGAGATCGCCAGAGAGACGCACAGCTAGGCAGAGAGAGGCTTAGCTTCACTCGGGACTTCAACCCCGATACTCCAAGGGGAAAAGGAGGGACCCTTGATACAAACCCCTACCCTATAATGGGCTATATCATGGGTATATAATAGCTATATGAAGGGTATATACCGAGGGGTCCTTATTAAGGGTCCTTCCTTTTACCCTTGGAGATACCAAATCCACACACCCTCAACTCCCGACCGGGGTAAGGTGTCGCAAACCCACATTAAATCGAGCCGTACT